AATATAATTTTGATAAGGCAATTAAATAGTTAGTTAATTAATTGAATTTATGGATTTAAATATGATTATATATTATTAATTACAATGATAATAGTAAAAATAATAATTGGTAGGGTCAAAGTTAGAAAATTGGGTTTGATGAGTAGATAATTAATTATTTTATTAATAATTTATTTTGTTTATTTATTATATTTATAAATAAATTTAATTGATTTTCTCTCCAAAATCACATGTTTTATATATAGTAATAGTTGAATAATTAATATAGTACATAATTTTCCTGATGTTAAAAGTCAAAAGTCAAATGAATATAATCCCAACCACATCAATAATACTAATACTAATAACTATTATAAATTTAAAGGATCCAGATTCATATTCTAAAAGTTTTAGATATAATGAACCAGATTCATATTCCAATTCTTTTGCTGGATGTTTTTTACCTTCAAACCAGTGTAGAAGATTCAATGCCAGGAATGTTGGAGTGTTCTGAATTTGTGAAATAATTTCTAAACTTCTACTAGTTAGTTGTACAACGAATTTTACACACTCAGGTATCATGCATCTCAAAATGGGTGCTCCTTTATGTTTTTCAGATTCTTTGTTATCAAAGAACTTTTCTTCATCATGGTTTTCAGATGTTGATAATATTAGTCTCCAAATCATCTTGTTGAACATCTAAACGTCACTGATCAAGATCTTTAGTCCAGAATTTTTGTAAGTCTCAATGAAGTTGTCTCTGTGGTAATCCATCATAGAAGTTATCCATATCCATAACATTTGTTACCCTAAAACAAATATTGGTATAGAGATGTTTATAATTACAAAGTTAAGTGTAAATAATTAATGACAACGATTCATTACAAGTATAACTACTTGTTATGAGCTTAATAATAAGCATAATTATTAATAAAAAGAAGAATGAATTCATTATAAACATCATTGATAACAACAATAATTCAATACCATTATCATCATTGATATCATTCACGTCTTCATATTCTTCCTCGTCTATATCCATTACACTTTTATTATATTATGAATACCAATATTATTGAAGGAGATAATAGAAATTACAATGCTGATTGATGATGACATTTATTATGATGTTAATTATAATAATGATGATAAGAGCATTATGCACTCTTATGGAATTCAAAATGAAATGCATCAAGTTAGGACCCTGAACAGTCTTAGGAGACAGCACATTCCAATTTTGGGTAGAATTACCCTTTTTTTTGATGATGGTACATATGAATTGGGCATTGAAACATTTGAAAATAAGATATTTTAGGAGGTTGTGAATTTGAGTAACTTTTAAGTGGTGCAATGATTTTTTTTTTCTTATAGAAAATTGTAAAATATACTAGACAGCAACTTTTAAACCATGAATTTGTTCAAAAGATCATGAAGATGGTATTTATGCCACATGTATTTGTGGTAATAAAATAAAATTAAAGCACCCTTTTAATGAAGATTATATAAATTGACATGTAGGTGATGATGGGTGTAAAAGAAAGAAAAACCCCAAGAAATTACTAAATCATTTGTCATCAATAAAATTTGCATTGGCCTTTGTGGTGATAAGTATAAAGCATATATTTAATGTACCCAACTTACTGCAACTCATAATGGTGGATTAGTGTTCCATGTCGCAATCCAAAAAAGGAAACAAAATGGTTGTAAAGGTGGTTGCAACCAGTGGTTGCAATCGTTTTTATATGACGCAAAGATGGTAGCAACCATCATCAAAAGTTGCAGCCAGTATCCTTATGGTGCATGCATGAATTGGCTCATTAACCATTTCTTTTGGTTTTCCTATTGATTTAAAAAGGACTTGTTAATCAACCAAAATGGCGAATTCAAGGTCTGTCAATTTGAAGTACAAAATGTAAAAAGGTATTGTGTGTGCTTCTAAATTTGTATTGAATGTCAAGATCTAAGTTTTTAAGGCATTATATTTATATAATTATATATTCCAAAGGATATTTTCATTACATTATTATTTGTTAGAATGCACTAATTAAAATCATATAGATGCAAGTTTGTTTTAAAATTAGCTTGCATAGCGGTCCAATATCAAGATTGCATTTTTATTTATTGTTGGTTTGTTAAAAGGAAAAATTGCTGTTTTCACATACGGTATATTTGAATTTTGAATATTTTCCATATTTTTTTTTGGGATTGCATATTAAAAAAGTGAGTATTATATAGTAGTAGTAAAGAGGTGATTTACTATTAAACATCAAATGTACTATTAAGATTATTTGGGCCCATCAAAACACATAATTTATTACACTATGTGAAGGTATTGAGTATCTTAAATCCAACAATGTATGATGTGTTAGCAACATATAATTTATTTATATGTTGAATTCAAACACATAATTTGGATAATCAATAGCTATGAACCTGTAAAAATGGACATGTTGTAAAGCAATTACTAAAAACTCAGAAAAGAAGATAGTGTTGAATGAAGTTTTAGTGCAAAATATACAAAACTCTAAAGACCCAGACAATACACAAAGGAATACTATATGTTATGTTAGTGATAAATGTTTTATCTGCCCCAGTGAAAATGAGAGGTGTATTAGACTGAAAGACCATAAATGTGCCTTAGCTTTATATTCTGACAAATATCCCACTGTAAAATACCAGAATCAAATGTTTGATACCACGTATCATGAAATTCAATCAAGCATACAGTCTAACCTTGTCACAGTGAATCTATGGTACCAGCCAAAAAAATTCACTGTGACAAATTTGGTGATCTGCAAAAAAAAATTTATTAACGAACAATAATAATATATATAATAATAATATATTTCATTATAAATTAATAACAAATGATGATAAAAATAATAAATGAATATGAATAATACATGCGAAAATCAAATATCTAATTGTTGAAATAATTTGTAATATTTGGTTGTATTAGTTTTTCATTATTTAATAATGTCACTTTTCTTTTTAATGATTTAAATGCTTTGAAATCTTTATAGTCTATTTCTAATTCACCTTGTTGAAGAAAATTAAAAGCTGTCTCAAAGGCATTTACAGCATCTTTTGTTGAAACTTTAGGTATAGTGTTATTCTCAACAACAACTTCTTCTGCTGGATTAAAAGAAGCAATTATTTCTTCTTCTGTTACCATCTCATTATTTATTTGAAAATCATCAATGGTAATATATTCTTCCGCCTCTAATGGTGTGGTAAATGGCAATTTATTGATTAAATTATTAATATTAATTCTTTCTCAGTTTGAAATCTCACTAACTATATTTGTTGAGTTTAGAGCTCTGAAACGAGTCGGGTTGACCCGAATGGGTCAGGTCGGGTCATGATTTAATTGACCCAGGTTTGACCCGGGTCAACATCATATTATAATTGCCTTTAAAAGTTCAAAATTATTTTTGAAACTAGTATAGATACTAATAAATGAATAAAAATAAATGGCA